GTATATTATCTATTTTTTTTACTAAATCATAAAAAACTGATTAATTTTAAGTATATCTTAAGTATATTATCTAATTTATAATTATAACTAAATGACACATAAATAAATAGACAACAAAATCAATTCAAAAAAATAAACTTAATATAAACTACAAATAAACCAAAAAAAAACCTAATTAATTAAAAAAATAAACTAAATATAAACTACAAATAAACCAAAAAAAACCCTAATTAATTAAAAAAATAAACTGAATATAAACTACAAATAAACCAAAAATACCTAATTAATTAAAAAAATAAACTGAATATAAACTACAAATAAACAAAAAAAAACCTAATTAATAACTATACAATCATATCTTTGATTACAGATAAACAATCAAATTAACTTTCAAAATCATTCGAAACACAAATATATCACATAGTAAGCACACACACAAACAACGATCACCAATCGGCACAATAACGCGACAGTAGCCTTCAAATTCTCTACTTAGAGAAGAAATTGCAAGACCTGAGTTACATATTTGCAGTGAATAAAAAAAACTTCTAGATATTATTCAAGCTCCGAGCTTCAAGAAATCATAGATAAACATCAAATTAATTTTCAAAAAACTAAATTTTGTTCCCAGAAATTAACACACGTAATGAAATCATAGATCAATTAACACTCAAAAATCTACTTTATAAAAAACTTCCACAGATTATTCAAGCTCTCATCTTCAAGAAAACCATAGATAAACATCAAATAAACATCAAACTAACACTAAAAAAGCTACTTAATTTTTTTTTTCTAAAAATTAACACACGTAAATTAGAAAGAAGGGGTAATCGGAGCCATCGAAAAATATAAAACGTAGCCCATCACTTTTTCCGACCTTCGAGTCTCCATTTTCACCTCTCTTCTCATCTGACAGAAAGAACATATCGGTTGGCCGATGAGTAAAACAGATGAACTTCAGAAAATAGACTAAAATAGTATCACAACTCACAAGAAAACACAGTTGGAACGATCAAAATTCCACAAGTAGCCATTTATCTATTTTCACCAACCAGCACTGCAAAACCCGAAATCATTTCGAATTCTCTATAGTCTAATAGACAAAGCAAATAATCATCCAATTTACCTCAATTCACAAACAGCAAAGCCACACATAAAACAAATAGCCTAAAATTTATGGTTTAATACCTCAAGAACATTTGGATAACATCAAAGCATCAAGAAACACTCATCAATCAATTCATAATTATTTCCTTTCGTATAATAAAAATAAAACCGCAAAAGCAACTCATCATACATTTCTGAAAACCTTCTACAAGGACACGTTGCGTTTAGCAAGCATATCAGAACCATATTATGCTTTATCCGGGTGAAAGAGCAAATATCCAAAACCACAAAGAATATGCCTCAAAAGAACATACATACTCACATATACACACCTGTTTGAGAAAACCGGCCCCAAAAGCTCGAGTCACCTTTAACGAACCTTTCACTCGGTCATTGATCACACCACAAGCATGATCAGGATGTTCATTTCTAATCCTCGTAACTTCCTATTGTACGAACCACCACAACAATAACAATAAATCGAAATTCAGCCAACAAATCAATGTAACAAACACAAAAAAAAACGNACGACCATGGATTTTGAGCAGACTTTTTTTACCTCTTGAACCGAGTTGATTTGTTCGTTTGTGAGCTAAAAAGCAGTTAAGCTCAGCAGCAAATCTGGCACGCCCTAGGAGTGAAAACCAAAACATTCCATTGAGATTATTTCAATAGATAATGACACATTAATATATGGCAATGATGACAAAATAATCATCCAATTCACAAACAGCAAAGCCACATATTCCAATTTACCTCAATAATGACACATTAATTCAGACAATGGGAATCGGATCTAGGGTTCGGGTTGGCCGGATCTGCATCTGCTAGGATGAATTTCAGGTGAAAGAAACCGTCAATTGCGTAGACGAAGACAAATCCGTCGTCGAAAATGGGGTATCAGAGACTCCGACGTTGTTGATGGATATTTGTTCAGGAAGTAGAATTGAATTTTCTCAATTTCGTAATTCAGACTTAATGGAGTTTGATGTGCGATTTTTTTTTATCTCGTTAAATGGGTAGTATAGAAAGTTAGGCTCGTGCAGAGGGTACTTATTTCATTAAATTTTGTGAATAAATTAAGCCTTTCACAGCTTCTTCCCGCACATTATCTTCTTCCAAGACATCAAAGCTGCTCAGACATTTTTAAATTAAAAGCAAAATTGAAATTTGATTCTAATTCCAAAATAACATATGATGAGAAAATTGAAGTCTTATTATATTTTTGAAACTGATATAAAAGGGTGAAACAAAAATTGGGACATAAATACTTTTAAAATGACATCCCAGAATTTCAAGAAAGTTATTTTTTTTTTTTTCTGCATTTTAGTTTGTTCTGGTGAAATTATTACATAGCTAGCTATTGTTATTTTTGTAAATTATAACTCAAGATTGTAGATATTATTTTAGTCATTTATCCATTTTATCGGATAATAGATAACCGAACCGATCCAACCGATGAATTTTCGGTTTGGATCCGAAACCGAACCGTAAAATTCGGTTCGGTTTTCGGTTTTTAGGTTAGGCAAACCAAAATTTCGGCGGTTCGATTCGGTTTCGACCGATTGAATAGCCCTACTAGTGATAGTCAATAAAAGGTTAAGTGAAGTTAGCTCATTTTCAGACGAGTTTTAATTTATATTTGTTAAATATAAAATAAAAACTAATATTTTATAATAAAAAATTCTATATAATTATAACTGAGTATTATGTACTTACTAAATTTAAGTTATTTATTTAAATAAAGAAAAGTTTGGAGGATAACTGTTTATTATTTTCTTTGAATGAAAATGATTTTATCCTTTCTTCTTATTTGTGATTCTTAAAAAACAACAAAAACAACATTTAACACATTTCGCCGGGGCCTTATAAAGTTCATGATTGGCTATGTTATTTATCTTTAATAACAAATCAATCTTTATCCTTAATAACAAATCATGCATTCTCCTGTTATGTTGGGTAATCATATGTAGACCGAAATATGCGTGAGAACATTAGAAAATATAAGTGCAAAATAAATTTAAAAATTGATTGTAAATACTTATCGATATAACTATCACAATATTACAATAGAATTGATATCTCAACTTTAATAACGAACTAGTATTCGACCTTGTGCATTTGCACAGATGTAAATAAAATTAAATATTATAAGTTATATTTATGTATATAATATAAAAATTATAAGTTATATAATTGTATTATATTTCAAACATATAGTATTATAAATTATATTTATGTATATAATATTAAAATTATAAATTATATAATAGTATTATATTTTAAAATTTGATCATTGGTTAAAATAAATAGTACACACGATCTGATTGTATACGAATCACTATATTGATTGCATAAAATGCAATAAATATATATATTTTATAATTTTGAGTGATCATGACCAATTAATTAGCTGAAAAATATTACATTTATTATAACAATTGCTTATGTGATTTTAAGAAATTTTACTATGACATAAAAAAAATTAATTTATTAATAAACAACATCTTCATCATATAAAAAAATATTGATTTTAGTGTAAAATATAATTTTATGTAACTTTCATATATTATTTAGTATAAAATATAATTACTAATTTTAATATTAACTATTATATTATTCAATAAAAAATATAACTATTAATCAATTAACATAAAATATAATGGTTTTTGTCTTAATTAACCCAAAAATGTAATGAAATATTTTCTTATTAATGAGATTGGGTGTATTAATGCCACATAAATAAAATTTATTAGGTTCTATTTATTAGGTTTTATTAATGATTTGCCACATAGGTAAAATTTATTATGTTTTATTTATTAGGTAAAATTTATTGCTTAGCTAGCAATTATATATATATATAGATTCCTACGATTTTCTATTCATTTTGTAACAAGTCATATAACAAAAATCATCTAAAATGTTAAATTTATAATTATTATGCGAATATTATTTATTGATAATATTTGAATATGTTAAATTTTTATTATTCCTAATTATAAACAGGATCTAAAATGACAACTGTTTTATATCGAGTGAAATAAACACATAAATTATGTATTAATTATTATATATCATAAATAAAATAAAAAAATAATTATCAATACTCAAAACTATTTTTATACTAATCAATATTTTACATTCCTTTAATACATGCAATTTATAATTATTAGCCCGTACATCGCATGAGCTTCATGCTAGTTATGACAATAAGTTAAGGTAAATTATGGAGTAATTGTACAATTTTTTTGAATTCAAGAATATCTTTTCAATTTTACACTAAAAAAATTTGTCTGATGTAAATATTATAAGTAATCAACAAATTTGTGATTTTAATTGGCAATTATGCGATAATATTCACATTTACAAAACCAGTGCTATAAATTGCCACTTAAAACACAAATAGACATAATACGAGTCACAAAACCAGTACAAATTTATTGCACCTAATTCACCTACTTCTAGATACAAAATCTGATATGAGTTATATCTATAGTACATCATGTCGCACCCTATTCAGTAAATATGCAGACCACATATCATTTACATAATTGCAAATTGACTATTCCAATAATTTTTCACGCTCTAATATTTCAACACCTCTCATCCCTAACAAAATCAAAATCTTATAATAATTTGAAAAATATCCAAATCAATACTCTGCCAGCATAAAAACTGAACACCACCAATTTTCCCATCCAAATACATGATGTCCCATGTAAAACTAACAAAATTGGCTAAAGAAATACCAAAAAAATAAAAAAAAGTAAGAGCAAAATACTCAGTCAGATTTCCCATTTCCACAAAACAGTTGAAAAAGTTGGAAAATGAAATGCTTTGCATATTTTATTAGATTGTGATGGATATAATGAGACCATGATAATATGATATGATTCTTTTCTAACTCCCAAACACAATCTGAAACAAATCCAATGATTTTTTTATTGTTATTCAATGCAATTTTCAAGTTTCAACCCTACCCCCTACCTCCTACCCACCCCACCCCACCCCCCACACCACATCAAAAGCAAAGAATCCAGCAAAGAGGTTCAAGTTGGCACTACACTAAAAGTAGGGGTTTTTGCCCCTTGGCAGTCATTTTTTCTACTGCCCTTCACCACTACCATAGAAAGAGCTCCCAACAAGAAGGGAACAACACTAAACCTGCACACCCTCTTCAAATACATCCATCTTTATCCAGCCTACAGAACAAAGAAATACCCATCTTCCCTGGTAAGCCAAACAGCCCCTAAACCCATGTGGATGTGCCTCTGTCGATGTTGTATCTCCATCTTTGTGTGTTTATGTACAATTGTGTTGATGAGGGTTCTTGTTAAAACGAAGAATCCTTCGACCCATTTTCTCTATCGATTCTTTTTTTTCTTAAAAAGTTTTTACAGTAACAAATTTGTTTCATTTGGATCCATGTATAACGGCTGTAAATGTTCTTTCTTGCAGGTGTATACACCGTATAAGTATAGACCTTAACTGGGTTTATGGATAGGAGAACCCCACCTGGGAATTTTTTCCAGTATGCTCCAACTGGAGGCAATGGTTCACTCCAGAGGTGTACTTCACTCTCAGATCGTGAAAGGCAATTCCTCTTAAAGATTGTTATTTTTTATGAATATATATATATATATATATATATATATATATATATTTATTTCCTCTTGAATTATTTTGTATCAATTGGATTCTTTGGATCTTTAAAATCAGTTATATGAGTGCTCTAATTTGAATCTGAGTTGTTAAATGTTGTGTGGTAACTCTGTTCAAATTTTTCGTGGCATTCTCGAAAAGTTGGCTTTGCTTGTCTTTCAAAAAGTTGGCTTTGATTGTCTCTGGTTCGTCTGTAACTGGTTTAATTGATTAACGGGTGTGTGGGATAAGTTGCATAATTCTGTGTGTATGCAAAAGTTTCAACATGAATCACCCAAGATCTTGTCATTGTCATACTATGGCTTGCATTCGAATATGGCATATTACTAATTGTTATGATATCCACATTTAAGCTTTGTGCTGCTTTGTTAGATTCTTATTTTCCAATATCGATTGGTCGTTTCTAATTTAATTAGAACATTTTCAAAATCTGACACGTGCTTGGTCGAATATAAAATTAGTTTTTGGATTGTGGTACTTGTTTGACAGATGAGTGAAATTAAACAATATACGCTTAACGTCATGCGGAAAATTTCCTTATGCTCCGCGAGTTACTCATTTGGAATTTCCAACTGTTAGTGAATATGATTATTCCTAAATTTGATTTGCTATGTTTTGACGCTTGCAGGTATTTGGCAGACCTATTGGCAGAGAGAAACAAACTAGGGCCATTTGTACAGATTCTGCCAGTTTGTAACAGACTTCTTAATCAAGGTATAGTAGTAGTTAATGCTCCTTGTACAGTTGCCAGTTTGTGTAATTTATTGTCTACAGAATTTTTGTTTTGGTGTTGTAATATTTCGTTGTTTTAAGTTGTATGGTATGACAAAGGTGTTTGTGTAGATTTGGTGATATAATTCTTGGTCTGTAATTAATCGATCAACTTAATTACAACAATACTTTCAGATCACGAGATTCTGTTTTCAATTTCCGTTGCTTTGAGATTATAACGGGTTCAAGATAGTGACTTTAAAATATTTAACTCTACCTTCCCTCTCGAACAACATGAAAAATGTGTATTTCATTGATTAACATTTGTTAGATTGCACAAATAGCATTGTTTAGTAAAGAATGGAAGTGAACTTATTCTTAAATTCTGGAACTCATTATATAAAACCTTTAATTATAGCATAATGTTTTCACTTTAGCTTGTCCTGAAACAATCATGATGCAACTTCTGCAGAAATGCAACTGTGTCTAACGGGAAAAGGATACAAAACAAATGATCTATCAGAAGTTAACCTGACAATAATATTTCTATATATTATTTTCTTGCTTAGGCGTCTGTTACGTAATTGGCATTTTTGGACTAGTTGTAGAATTTGTTTATGGGAAGATAACAATTAGCTTAAATTTACGGAATTGGAATTAATGCAAATATGGCATCCTGATTATTGCGCTAGTGCAAGATTATCGAGATTATGATGATACAATAATTGGCTGCTGTCTTGTCAACTAGATGATTTGGCGACATCAATGGTTAATCCTGGTGTTCTTGCTAAAGTCACACGTTAAATTGAGACTCAAGTATCTGTCATTCGTAAAATGAATAGATTAAATGCTGCTAACTCATTGTTATTACTTACACCTCGCTTATTTATTCGATTGCCATCTTTGTTGTTCCTTCTTACTATAAGCTCCCTTTATGGTTTCAAATATATTTTATCGATATTCTATTTCTATTTCTATTTCCTCAACCCTTTTAAAAATTGTTTATACTTTGCAGAGATCATTAGAGTATCTGGGATGATATCTAACCATGTTGCAGAACTCGAAAGATTGGGACATGGCCATATGTACCGATCAATGGGTGAACCCCTTAATGGGGGACATATGAATATGCCGGCATGGAATGTCATGCGAGCTGAGGTCAGTGGCAGTGCATAATCATCCTAATAATCTTGATACTGTAATAATATGTTTATTCTGTTGCTTTTATTTCTCAAAAAAAAAAAAAAATGCCTTCGTAATAGTAGATTGTTTCAAGCACGCCATTTGTTGAATTTTTCCATTGCCTTAAGATGAAGCACAAAACTATATTCTATCGTGATTTTTCCAATTAAAATAGGACTACACCAGGGGTCAACATTGAGCCCTTATTTATTTGTCTTGATGATGGATGAGGCCACAAGGGACATAGAAGGTGATATCCCTTGGTGTATGCTCTTTGCTGATGATGTGGTGCTAGTTGACGAGAGTAGGACAGGGGAAATAGGAAGTTAGAGCTGTGGAAGGACACGTTAGAGTCGAAAGGCTTCAGACTTAGTAGGACGAAGACCGAGTACATGACGTGCGCTTTCAGCATGGCTACTCATGATGATGGTGACGTTAGCCTTGACGGGAAAGTGGTGGCCAAGAAGGAGACTTTCCGGTATTTAGGATCAATGCTACAAAAGGATGGAGGCATTGATGCTGATGTTAGGCATAGAATTGCAGCCGGTTAGTTGAAATGGCGTCAAGTTTCGGGCGTTCTCTATGATAAGAGGGTGCCACAAAAGCTAAAAGGTAAGTTCTATAGGACGGCGATTCGCCCGGCGATGCTATACGGTGCTGAATGTTGGCCTACAAAAAGGCAACATATCCAACAACTAAGTGTAGGAGAAATGCGTATGTTGCGTTGGTTTTGCAGGCACACAAGAAGGGATAGAATCCGAAATGAGGATATTCGAGATAGGGTCGGGGTGGCTCCAATTGAGGAGAAATTGGTTCAACATTGGCTGAGGTGGTTCGGACATGTCCAACGAAAGCCTCCTGATGCACCGGTGCGTAGGGGAGTTCTACAGCGGGTCGAGGATGTAAAGAGAGGTAGAGGTCGGCTTAAACTTACTTGGGAAGAGTCGGTTAAGAGAGACCTTAAAGATTGGAATATCTCCAAAGATTTAGCGGTGAATAGGAGCGCTTAGAGGATGCTTGGATACAAAATTTATCCAAAAAATCCAAACATTTTTAACTCAACCATTTTTTTTAACTCAACTTTAACTCAACCCAACTATCATTAATATTATTAATATAATTAAATAATATCAACCAATCATTCTTACACATCACATTAACCTTAATTCACTATTCATCCACTCACATAATTTTAACTAACTATCACTTCAAATCTCTCTCTCATACTTTTACATCAAATCAACTTTAATTATTTTATTTTAAATATTATTTTAATATACCCACTAACAACTAACCATACCACATTTTTCAAAATTAACCAAACCAAATAAAAAAATCCAAACAAATCTAAAAAAATTTATATCCAAGCATCCTCTTAGAGGTTAGCAATCAACGTGCCAGAACCGTGACTTTTGTTCCTTTCTCTTTTGCTCCAATCTCTTCCTTTTGTTTCGAGCCCTTTTTGTGTTTCTCTTACCATTGGTTCTTTTGGGTTTCATCTCTAGCCTACCCCGACTTGCTTGGGACTAAAGGCTATGTTGTTGTTGTACTTTCTTACTAAGCATAGCTCCCTGCATGAATATATAAACTTTTTTTTTTTTTTTTTTNGAAATAAATTAATTGTTCATAATTAGGTCGAAAAGTAATCTCCATTTGGATTGTTGCAGTCGTATTTGCATCAATAACACCTGGTAGGCTACACGATTATTTCTAGAAAGTTGATCATGTGCAAAATTATATAAATTTTGTCAGGAGGATAAGCTCCGACAGAAAATGGCTCCATTTCATCCATCCCCTTTAAACTGGCACGTGGTCCCAGGGACACCCACAACCCCAGTCATGAAGAAGGTTATCCGACTAGACATTCCCGTGGAGAAGTATCCAAATGTAAGTACCTTTTTTTTTCTTTTTNTTTGATTGCCTAGCATCATTTACGAGTTTTCAGTTCTCATGTTGTTGAAAGAACCATGACTACTGACCAAAATCCTTTACAGTATAATTTTGTAGGTAGAATTCTAGGACCTCGCGGGAACTCATTGAAAAGAGTTGAGGCCATGACAGAGTGTCGAATTTATATAAGGGGTCAGGGGTCTGTGAAGGATTCGATTAAGGTATAGATGTGCTTTACTTTCACTAAAAAAATTCAATTTACTATGATAAAGGATGAGAACAAAATTACCTCTGAAATTTAGCCTCCATTCCAAAAATATAATATAATAAAAAAAATTGTTTTTGCTCTACAAATACACTCCCTTCAATGGGTGAACTTCGTGAAATAAGGTATACCTTTTCCAATATTTATTGGGATATTGATTTGCATCTGCATAACAAATCTTTTGATTTGTCACGAAATCTTGTGTTTTGTCTATACAGGAAGAGAAGCTGAGAGATAAACCTGGATACGAGCACTTAAATGAGCCCCTCCATCTCTTGGTAGAGGCCGAGTTTCCCGAGGATATAATAGACGTGCGTTTGGATCATGCAATGGCAATACTTGAGAACCTTCTAAAACCTGTGGTATGTATGCAACGTGAACTTATGCATTTTCTTTTACCGTTTACTCCATTATGTAATATGTTTAATAAGAAAAATTTCCTCCGAGATTCAGTCTAATTATATGAAATAAATATATGTATATAAAAAAAATATAGAGATCTTCTCAAGTTGCAAGTAAAGCCCCTTTGATTTTTTTGGATATATTTCATAAATTACCTTTCTCAACTAGTGCAGTTTCTAAATTGTAGATTACAAATATATGTTAAGTGGTATTTTAAGTGATAAATTTATATTTTCCTTAAAGGGAAAAGGAAAAGGAAAAGAAGCTCCTTTGTACTTTTTGCTAATTAAGAAAGACCTAAAAAAGTTTTGAAATACAGATGCCTCAGTCTTATTTTTGCCTTAGTACTAAGGGAAAAACTGTGAGATGGAATGACCTAAAAGTGGATTTTTGTTACTTCCAAATTGTCATTTTTTTTTTAATTGGCCTAATCTCGGGTTCTCTTTGTAGTCCTATTTGATAATTTTGTAATATAACAATTGAAGAAATCTTTTCCCTTTGTAATTTAATTTTTACTTCTCTACATATAAATATGCGCCATTTTTATGCTTACTTTGCAGGACGAGTCCATGGATGTTTACAAGAAGCAGCAGCTAAGGGAGTTGGCCATGTTAAATGGCACTTTCAGGGAAGAAAGCCCGAGCATGAGCCCAAGTATGAGCCCCAGCATGTCCCCCTTTAATAGCACTGCCATCAAACGAGCTAAAACGGGAAGATAAAATATCCCCTTTCATCATATCACAAATCTAGANAAAAAAAAAAAAAAAGAAGAAGAAAGTTGTGATTTTTGTGCTTTTAGTGAACCCGATGTCCAGATGACATCCAAAGAAACTTAATACATGATGCTTGGCTTCAAGTTAAATAACATGCACGTCCCTTCAACCAAGATGATGGCAATTGAGCTAACGAAGTTTATCGCATTTTTGCTTTAGGAAGTAACTTTGTCTGCTACTTATTTAGCTGCAATAATGTTGATTTTTGTGCCTCACTCTTTTTGGTTAGTTACAAAAAGCTGTAGTACTCTTACAATTCACATATACATTTGTGTTTCTTGGTCAGGGCATGTATGCTTAAATTTTGTTATAGGATGGTTGTGAAATTTTGGTTACAATTTACAATCTATCATTAGGTTGTGTTGTGGAACTGTGAGTTTTATCATTTATGATTGAAATAAAGTGATGATGCACTGATGCTTGCTTGCAAAGTTGCATTTTTAACCTTCACATTTCATAACCTCATATGGACTTTAATCACATCTCCCAAACATTACAAATTCTTGTGTGAGTTGTCTAATCGTTAGGTAGGTCGATGCGTCATATTTTTTCAACCAAAAAATTCGTACGTATGTTAAGAAATGTCGTGTTTTTATTTTTTGTTATTTTTTATAGTATGACATTTTAATTTGAAAGTATAATCCGATGAACAAAGATTAAAGAGAACTCTACGTTGTGGAATGTCCAATTATGTCTTAAATGAGTCTGAAAACATTCGAGATATTCTGGAATTTTTGTGGGACAATGATTGTGAGGACCGCATAACCTCAAAAAGGCATGCAACAAAATGTGCCTCTTATGTCGTAAAACTTGCTCGTTTCCATGGAGCCTGCATTTGCTTTCGCCATCGAGCAGTAGCTTCGGGCTTTCAGATCTGGCGTCGGTTCTAGCTAGCCGTTTCCATGGAGTTTTTAGTTTCGGGGTCCGATTCTGTTGCGCTTTGGGCCCTGTTTGTGGTCTTGTTATTTGTGGTTGTTGGCTTCGTTCCGTTTGGGTTTGTTGTGTGTCGCTGGTTATAGTTGGGGAGGTAGTAGTTTATAGTTAGTTTAGGTGTTTGTCTGTTTTCTTGTTTTAGTATGTGTTCTCCTAGTGGAGTGTTTAGTTTGGTTTTGTAAAGGGTTGGGTCAGCAGTTCGGGTTCAATGCTCATGCCATTGCTGAACTTTTTGAACCCAATTCTTTTGGTTTTGTGTGTCTAGGGTGCTACGGTTAGCATCTCTCCCGATTCCACCTTTTTGGGTGCTTTTATAGGGGCTAGTGTCCCTTCGGTCTTCATTGTAAAATCTCCTTTGTTGAAGGAATATAAATTCTATCGTTTCGAAAAAAAAAAAAAAATAGATATTATTTTATCTCATNGGATATCACTCTCACTACAAATCACTCAATCAATATTATAATATTTTTATATAGCATGAAATTTAACCTTTAAGATATTTTTATATAGCATGAAATTTAACCTTTAAGTTATCTTATATTAATCTCAATCTTAAATCTACCTCTTTTTTAATAAAAAAACATTTTTTCCTTTTAAGTACATTCAGGTGAAACAAAATTATTAAAAAAACATCTTATATTCGACCACAGCCTAAACTATCATATAATATAACGCTTTAGACAAGATACCTATTTTATCATAATTTATCGTGAGGATAACAAATAAGTAACAAAAATGTTATTTATTATTATGATCTATGGGACACAACATATTCACAAAAAGAAGAAATTTTACAAATATCGTGGAATTATTGAACAAAGCAAAATCTCATAAAGTTCCAACAGTAACACACCATCGTTTCATTCTCTCAACTGTGTTCAATACAAAGGCACCAAAAGTCAACCAAATCAAAATCCAGCAAAATCATAAACCATTCATTTTTGTCTTTTTCAAAGAAAAAAAAAAAGGAGAAAAGCTCAGACAGAGGCATAAAATAACATAACCAAAATCCTTAAAACAAGGAACAACATTCCCAACCCTCACTTTGCCAAGTCATGCAGTCGGTGCATTATTCTGCTGAAAACCTGCCTGATCCCCACCACCTCCGGGAGGAGGAGGAGCCGGCTGAGGCTGCACCCTATTCTGGTACCCCTGAGGATACAGCTGATTATTACCCGGTACAGGTGGTGGCTGCATATAACCATGCGGCGGATAATAATGCGGGTAAAAATTGCCCTGAGGCGGGTATCCATACTGCTGCCCTTGCCCGGGCCCACCTCCCGAGCTCTGGCCCAAGCCCGACGGCCCGCCATCCTGAGCTGGCACGAGAGCCCCCATCCTCTGTGGGTCCATCGATGGATAATAAGCCCTGTCCTGCTGAGGCATCAAAGGCGGGATATTGAAATACGGAACAGGCGGCGGATGTGGGCTGGGCCCACCGGGCCCACCGGACGGAGGAATGTTCTGCTGCTGTGATATGACGGCCCGCGGTAAGAGCCCGCTGTGTGCCACAGACGATTGCTGCCCTGATTCGGCAGACGGGCCCTCGAGTTCGGGCCTCTGGGACTGAGGCCTGCCCCAGAGGAGCTTGAGCCGCAAGCCCTTGATAACGAGCTTGTTCGAGAGCTCTTCAGCTGCTTTCTCGGCTCCTTCTCGAGTTGTGTAGGTGACAAAGGCGCAGGCCCGCTGAAGGACGATTTTGACCGACTCGATTTCTCCGTGAGCATAGAAGCTGTCACGAAGGTCTTGCTCGGTTATCCTTGCGTCGAGACCACCAACGTACAGGGTTTTTATGCTCTCGTCCTCGGGAGGTTCTAAAGAAGGCATCTCTCCAGCCTTGTTCAGAAGTTTCAAAGCCACCGGGTCATTCACTCTGCAAAAAAGCATTCACCATTTTTTAATTTTTATCAATTGAGAGTGAGAAAATGCTTGATTTAGAAGATTTGTCTTTGTGCGTTACCCATAGTAGCGGTCTTTGATATTTTGTTGAGACAATTCACCTTCAACAGGCATCTCGTGCCTGTAAGGGCACTCTGGGCCTCTTGTACATTGGCCACGAACATAAAAACTGCAAACGTGAGCTCGGTTTCTCTGGTAGTATGGTTTAGTTCGTTGGAGTTTCATAATAGTATCGTTTGGACGCACCTTCCCATAAGAAGATTCATAATCTATACCTGCTCTAGCCTGCGTATAATTGAAATGGATATATCAAGATGAGAGCGTGACAAGTATGGACTACAATTGGACGGGCAAAGCAGAACATAAAGATGCATGAGAGCGCTAACTAAAGATGGGAAGAGAACCATATCTCTGGAAATAGAGCCCAACTCTCAAGTCACTTAAACTCTTATAATTAACTTGGTGATATTGAAATCCGTAAGTTCTATGATTTGAGGACAGTACAAATGCAAATGAAACCATGAGCAACACCAGGTATTTCTAATCACAAAAGAAAAAACCAACAATAAATATCCAGCACAAACTAACGTTAGTACATGTTACCAAACCTGTCTCCTAACCAAGCATCCAACACCAGTTCAGGCAGAGCACAGCAAATAGACTCACTTTGATGAACAACAATTTGTGAAACACAAGTCCAATTAAACTACATGTATAAATCGATTTAAGGAACTTGACTGAAAATGATCATCAACGTGAATAGGAAGATGGCTGCTCTTGGTGAAACTTGAAAGAGAAACATACCCTGCGATCATGCTCCTCTGCAAAGTACTCCCTATTCACATCGCTTTTTGGAATGGCATCATTGGAATTGATACTCAGAGCAGTATCCCGAACCTGAACAGGGAGCCCATATTCAAGATCCAAAAGGCAAACTTGACACACATTTTTCAGCTTACTGCAAGTCTGGCAGATCTCAGTCTTCTTATATCTTGCATCACGGCCAGGCCTCCACCTGAACACGGTGAAGGGCCTAGTACAGATCTTGCACTCCTTATCATAATCAGCTTTTGTCTGGACCAAGTTAAGGGCATTTTATAATGAGAACTTGCACAAGAAAATAACTGTCTTTGCAATACAACATTAAAGAGCCAGTTTAAATCTCAGACTACGGCCATTTTCAAATAAAAATTCATGTTTAAAGAAAATAAAATAAGATGGGCACATCGTCACAAGTAGATTTCGACACAACCAAGTTACGTCTTCATTTAAAACAAAGAACACAACAAGGACCAAAAACCCTAGAGAGGTGATATTCCCAAAAAATCATCATTACATCAAGTTTGGGACAGAAAAACTACTAAAGTCCAAAAGGAACTCCCAACATTTGAGAGAAAGCCAAAAACCATCATCACTCAGTACGTCCCACTGATTATTTCTCCGACTTCAAGATTCAATTTTTATTAGCAGAAGTATTCAATTAAACAGCTACTGGAAGCATCAACTCTTAAGTTACCATTCGAACATAAGGATTGTCTCCAAGGCACGATTCGCAAATGATAGGGAAGTCAGAACGCTCCCACCCATCAGCTTCTGCATCCCTCAGCAGCCTATGAGCCATTTTTATCCAGAACTCAAAATTTCTTGATATTACGCTGCAATAGTAAAAGATCAAATCATGGGTAAAATTTGAAGTATTCAGGTAGATGCAAAGAACCAATTTTGCTTTTCAACAAAAAACCCTAATATGTCAAGTCCTAGGTCACTTTGTTGGACCAGATACCTTGCGTTTTTCCCCCAAGTAAGAAAGATAAAAACGAGAGCTTCCAAATGATAAAAGGGCGTGGTTGTAGATCTGGAGAGCGAGGGGCACTGGCAGTTTACGGCGGGGTGGAAGAGAAGCGTCGACGGAGGGGGCGTAGATATTCGCAAAGTAACGAGACAAAATTATATTAATCCCGATAATGGTAACATGAACATCTTGGAACATCTCCAATACTTTTATTTACATTTGGAATACTCGTTTGTAATTAATTAATTACAAACAATATTAAACAGTAATTAATTATAAATATTAAATAGTAATTAAATACTCGTTTGTTTGGAACAATATTAAATAGTAATTAATTATAAATATTGGAGTTTGAGTCACTCCATGAATTATTATTGATCATCTTAAAAAAAAAATTTAAGAAGAAGAAAAAAGAATAATTATAAATTAAAAAAGAGTATAAATAATAATTATAAATTAAATATGTGTAGTCAAACAAGTGAAATTATCTTGTATATGAGAATATAAAATTGTTTGTTTAAAATATTAAAAATACTTAAATTATTATATTAATATATATAAAAATGTCTAAAATTTTTTATATTATTTTTGAAAAGTGTAAAGTCACCTACAACTTTTCTAAACTATTTTGAAAAGAAACGTATCTAAATGTTGTGCGTAGTAAATTGAAAATCTTGCGCATAGTAAATAAAATGTTGACATCAATAGAGATTTCGAACATGATGCTGTATTTTTTTTATTTTTTTTTATCTATTTGAATTATACTTGTTAAATTTTAATAATATTTTATGTGATTTATTTCACTTTGGTCCTTTGAAAATCCAGCTTACCATATTTGAGAAGCCACATAATAGCATCTCCAATGGTCAAATGTTGTATAAATTACATTCTACATCAACACATTTAATAAATTCATCATTTTTTCATCTCCAATGTAGAATGTGATCACAAATATTGTGATGACGTGGACATAATTAATGTCTACAATGTAGAAGAAAATGTGGTTCATCCATATTCTCCTCTACATTTTAGCTAACCAATGAAAAAAAAGAGAGAAATATTCTTACCAATTTCAAGCTATCTAATGATTTAATTAATTTTATTTTTTATTTTTAAAATTTTAATATTGGTAAGTATATAATATTGTAGTTAGACTACATTGTGCATTGGAAAAAAATTTTTAATTTCATAGTTATAGACTTAATTTTTTTCTAACATAGTTGGTAATTTATTTAATTTATTGACATTTGATAAAACTTATTCTACAACAACATTACAACATTGGAGATGCATGAAAAATCCCAAAGACTGGGGGGGGAGCATTTGGTCCCACAGGGATCATGATGATTGAGCTCTACACGGCCAAGCATGGCCTCCTGGATTTCCACAGCATCGCCGGTCCACCAGAAATCTTGAATGAACTTAACTCTTTCATTCAAGAAATCGAAAACTACTTAGGTTACTAATCCAGGGGGAAAAATCGGATCTTTGTCATAAAATTCAACAATAATGTCTCTTTCGCTCTGCTTCACCCAAGCAATCCACCACTCCAAACCCTCCACTCAAAGAATCCCACTCCACAAACCTCTAAAAGGCCATAACAGAATCTCTGTCAGGCCAAGAAACCCCACATACTCGAGATTTTCCTGTAATATCAACCATCGAGGTGTTGGTGAAAACTTTGAGAACTTAGCTGGAGGAGTTGTACCTCCTGAGAAGGCCAGATGGGAAGATTGGCTGGCCGCTGCTGCTAGCTTGTACCCTCTCTATGTGACTGTTGGTGGGGTGGTGGCCTTTTTTAGACCCACCACTTTTTCCTGGTTTGTGAATTTGGGCCCAACCTCTTATAGCTTAACTCTTGGGTTCATAATGCTGGCAATGGGGATTACGCTGGAGCTCAAAGAGTTGATTAATTTGTTCAGGCAAAGGCCGTTATCGGTGAGTTGATCAAGAATCAACGTTTCCACATTTTTATATTTGGGGCTAATGCAAAAACTATACGAATTTGTCTAATCACGAAAATATTAAGTTTATGTTTCGAAATGCGCTGTCTTTCTACATCTGTTTCTCTTTTTGCAAATTGTGCCTTATAGATGCATTGAACTTATTTGACAATACATTAAGTGATTAAAGTGGTCGTTGGTTGCACTATGTAAGGTAATTTTTATTTTGAAAGATGTGTTGAGCTCTGTAGTTATGCTAAATCTTAGGGGCACCTTTTGTAGTTACCTATTATTGTTTTGAAATTTGAAAGTTTCTATGCCTGTGATTTTGTGAGTGTCTTTGCGTGTGTTTTAAAAAGAACGGAGAAGACAGTAAACATAGCTTAGAGTTGTTATGCAGTTTTAGTACTTATAAGTTTGTTTCGTTAAGGAAATGCATCAGAGGTGTTGTTCCTGGATTTATAATGCATATGATAATGAATTATATACATGATCATATAGAATTTTTCTTACCAGTGATTTTATGAGATTAGTCAGTCTCTAGTTTGGGAAATTCTTAGATGCTTGGAGCTTGGACATAGGGTTATTGATAGGATGTGGAATTAGTGCTTGTTTGGAAGCTTGCATACTTGCGACATTCTGTGTTCTGAGTTATGTCGATTTTGAAAAGTCAGGACATGCTAATCTTTGTCACTTGTGAGTTTTCATTGGGAGTTGTTGCCTGATCTACATCTTAAAGAATCTGACTGGGTCATTTTTTTTTAAAAAAAAATAAAAATATGAACAATCACTACGCGTCAAAATAAAAAAAAAAAAAAATAAAAAAATGGCCATGATGGCCAGATATATATTGTTTTGAAATTTCTATTTTTCATTCTTTTTCATTAGAAGAAAATATTTATTACTCAACTTCATTAGCCTCTATGAGAGGGAAAGTTCTAGTTATGAAAAAGGTCATGATTTTTTTTTTTTCTTCTGTAATATTGTCTTATCAGATTCTCTACGGGTGTGTTGCTCAATACACAATAATGCCTGCTTTTGGAGTGATTGTTAGCAAGTTGTTGGGGCTTTCACCTTCACTGTCAGTTGGTTTAATATTACTATCATGTTGTCCAGGCGGAACAGCATCCAATGTGGTAAGACTACTCGCGTATATTTCTTTGCATAATTGTGTGAATTCATCTTATATATCCAAAATATTTACATGCATATTTTACCAAAGTAATTTACTGTATAAGCTAAACACATTTGCATATGTCTTCTTATGGATAAGCACCTATGCGTTTATGCCTCCTGAAATAAGTCATAAGTTCAGATTTTTAGCCAACAGTTGATTTATTCAGGCCGAATCATTTAAGAATCAACTGGTGGGTGTTTGTGGAGTAAAGGAAATGTGATCATTAATAGTAAACGACAAATACTCAAAATACAAATGATGATTTACTGATGAAGATCTTCTAATAGCATTTTTATGCATTAGTGGTGAGAGATTGATGAGGTGTTAAAGGAACTTAAACAAATTGAAGGTCCAGTTAAGGAAACAAATGTTATTGATATCATTCTAGGCTAAGAATACTTGAGCTTTAATGTAAAAAGTAAGAAAGAAAAATTAGAAATGCCGTGACTCCCCTTTGGTTATTTAATTAATCAGTAATGCAACAAGGTATTATGTTAATGAATAAGTGTAGCATGTTTTTCTACCCTCTTTTTATTTTTCTTGTTTGTCTAGTTATCAGTGTTATAAATGCTTCATTTTCATTCAGTTCTCTAAAAATAGTTTTACAGGTAACTTTAATAGCTCAAGGAGATGTCCCACTGTCAATTGTAATGACGGTATGCACCACACTTGGGGCTGTGATTCTTACCCCTCTCCTGTGTAAGATCCTTGCTGGAACTTATGTTCCTATTAACGCAGTTAATCTTTCCATGAGCACTTTACAGGTGAACATTAATGCTCCGTTTTTGGCCTTTTCCATTTTCTTCCCTTGCATAATTAATTTTAATACTTCTTTTTTTTCCATGCAGGTGGTAGTTGCTCCAATTCTGTTAGGTTCTTATCTGCAGAGCATGTTTCCTAAATATGTGAAACTAGTGACTCCTTTTGCCCCACTGCTAGCTGTTCTATCTTCCTCATTGCTTGCTTGCAGGTCATTTTTTTTTTTTTTCGATATATTCATNTTTTTCGATATATTCATGCTTAATGCCTGATCTCTATTCTTTGTTATCTGTGACTCTTTAATGGAGAGTTTGGAAACACTGTTAGAAAGTGATTGTCTACTTTTGACTGAAGAGAATGTAGTTTTACTGTTATCCAAATATCAGCTTCAACGTCTAATCCCATGCTATTTAGTCGGTATCTAAAAGCTGGTTTCAAATATATGATTTCGGCTCTTGTGTCACTTTAAAATAATGCCAAAGCTTCTACAACTTATTCAACAAATACTCACTTCTAGTTTATCAATATTTTTCTATTATTTGCAAACATTGCCAAAATCATTTCAAACGTGCAAGATTAACACCTTCCAGTTGCTGTTTCTGAAATTCTTCATTTATTTTCCAGTGTATTCTCAGAAAATGTTGCTCGTCTGAAGTCCTCGGTTTTTGGTGCATCATTATCATCCGATCTTTCTCCAATTCATCGTGCTCAAGCTATGATTTCAGGAGAGTTGGGTGCTATAGTACTCTCAGTTCTATTGCTGCACTTTGCAGGTTTTTTTGTTGGGTAAGTACTTGGGAATATGTCGTTCATGAGTGTTGAGCTAGAATTCACTCTTTCCTTAGGAGTGAGCTCCTTTTAGCCGATTTGTGGCTGATTTCTATCTCTCTTCTTCATGTTAATTGGTATAAAATTATTTAGTTTCCCATACAGGTATATATCTGCAGCTTTTGGTGGATTTAAGGAGCCACAACGGCGTGCAATATCGATTGAAGTAAGACCCTTACAGTTTCTTCTTTTTTGTTCTGAAATGTACTTTNATGATAATAATAATAATAATAATAATAATAATAATAATAATAATAATAATAATGACAATAATAATAATAATAATGCCGACAAATCTCATTTTTTTTGCAGGTTGGCATGCAAAACTCGTCTCTAGGGGTTGTGTTAGCCACGTCACATTTCAGCTCGCCCATGGTGGCATTACCTTCGGCTATATCAGCAGTAGTTATGAATATAATGGGCAGCAGTTTGGGTTTCTTGTGGAGGTACATTAATCCTTCTGTCACTAAGGATTTCTCATAATGTTGCTCAAGATTGTGATTTTACTCCATGGGGAATAGTTTATCTGCCATTTGCTGCCATTTTTTTTTCTTTGTTTATTTTGCTTTATTCCTTTTCCCGTTTTGTCATGAATAATTTTTCTTCTTCTCCTTTTTTTTTGGTGGATTTGAGTTAGTTACTGAACTACCCTTGTGGTTTAGCCTAAACCTAATCATGGAAGGGCCTATTTATTGTGTATAATTACATATGCCATTGCCACCCTGTGCGGGGGATGGACGTGTAAGTTATGAAGATGCATGTGATGAAGATGGACAAATGCTGTTGAAATAGGAAGAGAATTGAGGTGAACATGTTTTTGGCCTCTTTCTTCCTTTCCCTTTCCTTTTTCCTTTGTTTTTCCGCCGACCGGAATTAGATTTTTTAATATTAAAGGAGTCGGAGAAAAAAAAAAATGATGCATTTACTATCAAAACCTCCTCCATCACCTATTCGTTTTGTTATTATTATTATTTTCTAAAAAAATGATGCATTGCAAATGGAGCTGGAAGAGTCATTGTTGACAATTCTCCTGGCATAGTGCTAATAATGGACTAGATCAAAATGGCTCAATTAAATTCTAGTGCTTCTTCTATTAGTGAAGTTTCTAGAAAAAATATATCAAACGGCGCAATGCACCTTGGGTCGCTACAGAAACAGCCTCCTTGTATAATTACAAGGGTAAGGTCTGCGTACAATTGACCCCCCAGACCCCAACTTGTTGGGAATATACTGGGTATGTTGTTGTTGTTGTTGTTAAGAATATTACCACTCTTCTTTATCTATGCCCCTCAGATCAAGGGTATGTTGAAATGATGATGCAATATATATCCTTGAACTTAAGTATCATGCATAGGAAGAAAACAAAATAGAAGAAAAGGTGAACATAGCTCATTTATTAATGCATCTCACAAGCAGGGAGTCAACCAGCTTACATATGACACAAATATAGAGGACATAGTAAATAATGCTGCCTATGTCGTAACATACAAATTGCGNNNNAAAAAAGATAATGATACTCTTGGGTGAAGTAAATTATTAATCTTTGCTCAAATGGAAATGTTTATCATGTCCAGAGCTAAGTTCTCAATCATCAAAGCTTCTACTTCTCCACTGCATTTCATCCTTCCTGTATTACAGATGACACCACAAATCCTATTTAGAGACTTACTTTTAAAATTACAAAGTATGAAAATATGGTTATATATATATAGCTGCTTGACGGTCAGGACTACCTAGCAATGACCCTACTGAAGTAACTGTAGATGAGATTTCTTGCAAACTCTAGAATAAGGTGAGTGTCGGTTCAAATTTGAATAACCATTGAGATTTTATTAGCAAACTTTGGCTTGAGAAAACATTATTACCTAATTAATTAGTAGGCGACTTACCGTAGGCAGATGCAGATGTGAGGTTAATTTTGTGATTCGACATATTGTTCGTGAGTGAGCAGGATGAGATTGGTAGGACAGGCAAGTTTTGGCAATTGCAAATCTCAATCATGTAGCCATCAGGGTCATGGAAGAAAATCTGATCCACAATTATGCCACCTTCTTTTACCACTGCTGTTATGTATTCTACTTTCATGTTTTCCAGTTGGTGAACTATTAGGTCCATGTCTGAGCACTGGAATGAGATGTGATTGTCTTTTGGATTTATTTTGCCTTTTTTCTCCTTCACACTTTCTGATCCCAAAAGATNAAATATTGATTGAGAAATCACACGAATTTTCGGTGGACGAATAGCGAATGGTTTGGGATGTTTTAGCAAGAAGATGTTATGTATTTCATTAGGTATTATTTTTTAAGATCATTTTTATGTTGTATCGATCAATTGTTATATATTCACGCACACGAGACAAAGACAGAGAGCAAGAGAATTGAAAAAGGGTGTGAAAATTTGCATACCAAGCCCCTTCAAAGTCAAAGGAAGAGGGCCTTTTGATGAGCACAAATCCTAGAACTTGTTCATAGAACTCAACAGATTTGTTGACTGATTTGCAGACAAAAGAGACATGGTTTAAGGACAAGAAAGGCAAACCCCTTGCTCCAATATTAATATTGGTGGTATTGTTGCTAATTGCAACTTCTTCAATGTCTGCAACAGTAATCTCAGTCACCATATCTCCTGATTGTGGTTGTGTGTGTGTGTATTGGGTGTTGATAAGAGTTTGGTCTAAGAAACTGAGATATTTGAGCTAAAATTAGGCTATATGTGCTGATAATAATGAAGAAGTATGCATGTCAATGATGTGTATATATAGAAGATATAACCATGACAGGTCAGGCTGGGGGAGAATAATTAATGTCAAAATTGAATTACATGTTTTTTTTTAAAGTAATCTATATTATATATATATAAAGGTTTGATTATTTTTAAAATAGTAACTGTTTCCCACAAAAAAAAATATTATTTACTGTTTCTATGGGGAATAAATTGATCAATACATGGTATAAAGTGGGTGAATTTATTTTTGGTATCTGATGGTCGTTTCTACGGAAAATAAATTAATCAATATATGGTATAAGGTGGAGAATTTATTTTTGGTATCCGATGGCCGTTTCTATGGGAAATAAATTAATCACTATATGGTATAAAGTGGACAAATTTATTTGGTTTATTTGATTGTNTTTGACAAAATAATATGAACGAATATTTTGATATAATGTGTCTCTCGAAGTTTTTTCATAGAAATGCTCTTGTCAATTTTTTGTTTGTATAATCAATGTGTATCGATTTAATTCATTTTTTGTTACGATATTTTAAATATATATATATTTTTTTTTTGTGTGAAATGCACTATTCAATTTTTTTAGCATGATAAAGAGTCGATTTTTTTTTTTGTATAAAAAATCTGAATAATAATATGAGCGACTATTTTAGAAGAAACGCGTGTCTCAACTTATTTATTTATTTCTTTATTTTTTTTGGTAATCTTTGGATTCAATATCTTTGGTATGAGAAATATTAAAAATAATATGATCGATATTTTTAGTATAGTCAAAATTTCTATGAAATCTTAATAAAAATGACATTGTATATCACATTAATCATTCTTAACAAAAAACTTTCACAATGACCAAATTGATGAAGCAATAAAAATATACACGAGATCTACATGAAAAAAATCAATATTGTCGATTTGATTCAATATACTCGATATAATCGGACTATTATTTGATTAGCAAATAACCAGTGTATAATTGCAAAAAATGTCAATATCAAATATTACATAACCACATTGCAAATCACTTTAATTGATTAATTTGTAATGTATAACTAAACAAATAAGAAAAAATATAATAGCATCAGATTAACCAAAAAAAGGTGTGAAATACATAGTAAATTTTTGTCATTACAAAATAGAATAAGTGTTATTTGCACATGTTTGAAAATTGACATGAATCATAGGCAATTTATTGTTTTTGTTAAAATACTTTCATATTAAATATCTCTGGAATTGATCTAAATTATACTTTGTTTTTTTTCCCCTAAAAATTCAGTATAGATCGATGTTGTCTACTCATTCTGCTTTTGATTTAACTTTTTATTACACAAATACATGATTTAATTCAATTCAACCTGAAGTGCGAATTTAATTTGATCAAGAATCACACTAAAAAATCAAGATATCACTCATAATAAACATTCATCATCAAATCGTTGTTGACAACATGTCTAACTTTTTTTAAAAAAAAAAAATAATTAAATACCTGATATTGAACGATAACGTTGTTGACAACATACATTAAGTTTTTTTTTTAAAAAATTTAATTAAATATCTGATATTGGACGATAAAGTAGGATCATTAGTGGACTCAAACTCATTAGATAATTGTGAAAATGATATTTCCACGTTTTCCTCCCTTATCAGACGTCTTGTACTGTAATAGTGTAATTAGGATATTATCGTGAACTAATTAAATTTTCCATAAATCTCAATCTAATACGACACGTATATTTTGTCTTTATGTCATAGAATGTGACACAACGTCCAGCCCACAATTAATTTTGCATCCACTTGAAATGGAAAAGAATAATAGTATACACATGTTAAAACTGTAATATATATGTCGCAATTTTTTTTTATTGTTATAATATTATGTACGGGCGCTTACTAAAAAATAATGCACAATAAAACTAAATAATGAAAAAAAATCTATTATTTATATTGTGGATTTGGAAAAATATATATATAAAAAATAATAAAAAACTATAAAATTTGTAGTAATTTTTTATCAAGTTAGAAAAAAAAACCAACATCACTAGTTCTATTTATATATGTGGTATTGGTATATAATTGATTGCACTGATTAATATGACTACATCATTTTCGATTTGATTGAGTTAAATGTATTTTATTTATTGATTTCATGCAGCTAAAAAAATCATGAAATACAACTTTCAATACAACAACAACTTTCAATATGGACAATTTTTCCTCAAAAATGCAAAGGAAAAAAAGGATTTATATTGGAATGTGTAAAGAACGATGAATGAACAAACATGAGCAACAGAAATTAGGACAAAATTAAGAGTTTCTATTCGTTAGATTTTAAAAAATCTTAAAAAGTTAAAAGTTATTCATTTGAAAATTTAAAAAGTGTTAAAAAGTCTTGATATATTCAATTTATTTAGGAGGGTGCATTCAATTGTAACTTTTAAAAACTTTTAAGAAACGGGGTAAAACGGGTGAGGTCCCACTCACGTGAAGCGCACCATAACAGGGAAAACCTTTATGAAACCAAAGTGAGGTTCCATCCCAAAACCAATTGGTGGAAGGAGGAGTAGCCCATTAGACTTATAAATTAGGCCTACTTTTCCTATATAAACGATGTGGGACAACTCACAAGTGAATACTCTAATACGCCCCTCACTTGTGAGTTCTTCATAAGAAGCCCAAGTCCATATACGGAGCTGGGTGCCCAAGCCCTGCTAGAAACAAGTTGGGAAACGGGTACATCATTGTACGGTCCCACATAGAACCGGCTCTGATACCATATAAGAAACGAGGGGAAAAACAAGTGTGGTCCCACGCAGATGAAGCGCACCATAAGCAGGGAAAGCACATATGAAGCCCAAGTAGGGTTCCATCCCAAAACTAATTGGTGGAAGGGAGAGTAACCCATTAAACTTATAAATTAGACCTATTTTCCATATAGAAACGATGTGGGACAACTCACAAGTGAATATTCTAATACGCTCCTCACTTGTGAGTCCTTCATAAGAAGCCCAAGCCCATATACGGAGCCGGATGCTCAAGCTCAACTAGTAACAGACTGGGAAACGGGTACATCATCGCACGGTCCCACATAGAATCGGCTCTGATACCATGTGAGAAACGGGGGTAAAACGGGTGCAGTCCCACTCACGTGAAGCGCACCATAAATTAGTGGAAGGAGGAGTAGTCCATTAGACTTATAAATTAGACCTATTTTCCTTATATAAACGATGTGGGACAACTCACAAGTGAATATATAATAATTCTATTGTATTCAATTGAAACTTTTTGAGCCCTTTAGAAAACTTACCGGTATTCAATTAGGACTTTTAAAGATTTTTTATAAATATCTAAAAGTCTTAAGACATTCAATTGAAACTTTCTAAGAGTCTCTATAAGTTACCATGTATTCAAAGTAGAAAGAATTCATGAGGCTTTTTAAATTGAAGACTTTTGGAGACATTAAAATAAAAATTACAAACGGAAAGTCCTAGTAAAAATCTCATCAAATTAGTGAGATTTGTTGGCTTTACGTCGCTATTTAACCTTTTTTTTAAAGAGTTTAATGTACACAACTATATGTCTTATATTATTTTCATACTAAAAAACTCTACTCATTTAACTTGATAGTTCTATAATTTGTTTTTTCATTACAAATGTTTAACGTGATTTTTTTTAAATTTAGTTTTTAATATGGTTATATTATTATATGTTCATGTTTATCATTTCATATGAATTTAACTTTTTAAAAGTCAAATGTTTATATAGTTTGCACTTGCTAAAAATTTTACTTTCATCATTCTCTTTTGACAATAATTGTGTATTGTAAAAATATATGTAAATAATATTTTTCGACCTGCCCCTGTTGGGCAATCGGACCTCCGACCGCTACTGGAGATGCCAACGAGCCCCCTAAACCTGAGAGGTTGGGAATCAGGGTGATCAGCGTCGCGGTCGACCTCGAGAAGCCTGGTGGTGGACCTGCTTCTATAAGACGATTAGAGACCCATTCCTCGTCCAAAGTGGGCTCCAGGTTCTTCCTGGGATCCTCATTCGCCATGGCAAGTGGTAAAATATGGCTTTTAACGCCAAATGGTGGTGCAAACGACCTTGACCCGGTTGAACGTCCTTTGATTTGCTCACGAGCCGGTGAGTGACCTGCAAAACAGCATTGGGGGTTGTCCAGACGTAGAAGCTTCGATGCTTAAGTCAATAAAATGAGATGAAAAAGATGAGGAACTGCATTTATATAAGTCTAGAGTACTTAGAATGTGTAGAGGAACGATAATTATACTTTACCCCTTTATGTATAGGTGTTACCTTGTTGTCCAAACTCTGCTCAACTGAGCTGCCCGAGTGCCCGAACTACTCGATTACACTGCCCGTACCCAAACTTCCAATTCAGTTAGCCACGTGGTTCTATCCACGTGCTCTTCTTATCCTAATTATATTCTTACTTATCCACTATCTTGGTGTGTTCAACTCGATTTCCTTTGAACAGGATCATTCTCGTCTTCAATAAGTAAGTCTGTCTTTTAGATCCTACATCGACCTCTTCACTCTAGGTCGAGTTTCTGTTAGGCTAGTCGAGTGCCCTAGCTCGACCTGCTGCTGAACTGCCCCGAAGGTCATTATTGACCTTGTGCTCTAACGACCTCTAATCCTCTTGCTGTCCGACTATCACTCTGCCTGTACCGTTCAGGTTGTTGTTAGGTTGTACATGACCTAACGAACAGTATGATATCCATATTATCATATCAAGCGACAGAGCCATACATTTTTTTTTTATCTTTTTTTTCCAAAATTGTGGTGGGCCGTGTTATGTGTAGAAAATAACTTGCCTTTTAACTTTGTTTTTTCTTACATTAGGTTCAGTAAATGCCGAACCATCAATAAGCATAGATACCAAATCGAATATGCATTGGTTCGTCTTCCGACTTTTGATTATCTAAAAAATGGTTTGGTTCGGTTCGGTTTAATATTTTTGCGAGTCGGTTTGGATTAGATCGATTCAGTTTTCTTTAAGAAAGAAAATGTCAACCCTGATCCATTTACAATCTTAATATGTTTCATTTTATCTAGGCACAACTTTTCTACATTCTTATGGCATTTTTCAAGTGAGATAAAAAAATTCAAAAGAAATATTATATCCCATCAAACCCTAAAACCCTATTTCCTTTCAAAACTTGAAGCAAGCAAGTAGGATTATTATAAAATTACTTTATTATCCACACCTCTCCCACCCTAACGGGGTGACATTATAATAAAATAATCTGGTGTGAGACTGATTGAATCTTTTTGGGCTTCATTTGGTAGGAGAGACTAGATTACATTAGCAGGCCAATCCGAGTGAATCTGTTGTTTGTTAGCTATGTTGGAAGTTCGCAAGATTAGATCGTGCCCGATACGAAATCCACCGGATCCAATGAATATCTACAATGCAAATGTAGTAAATTTATCGGATTATCCCCAAATAGTACCACAATTTTTCCAAAATTAACCTGGTCGTGCTGGGAAATTACAATATACCATTTTCCCTAAATACCTTATCTCAAATCTAAAAATTGCCAAAAGTCGATCAAATATAAACATCCAGAACCTTGAAGCTGCCAGCTTTGCTATAGAGCCATCGGATGGCTCGACTTATGGAGCCATCCACACTTGTTCACTAATAGTGTCCTACAATAAATATAATTTGGACAGGTGTTAATACATTATGTGATGGATGGCTCCATAAGAAAACCATCCGATGACTCAATAGAATTTTTGTTGAAGCTGCGGCGTCACATTGTTCCCAATCACGTTGGGACGTCAAAGTATACGTAAAATTCTCAATTTCCAAAATTGTGTACTTTAGACGTAGAGTTATAAATGATGTAGTTCGTGCAACCTACTACCTACAAAATGTCTGATCGTCTGACTACTCAAATTGAGCATATGAAACAATTAATATGTGTTAGTGATATAACATGCGTAGATCAACTTCGCATGGACCAAAATGCTTTCAACAAACATGCATAAAATCACAACGAAATTTCGTCACATTAAGAAAAACTTATAATTATTAAAATCACAATGATAAGTATCTTTATTCATCTAATAACAATCATTAAAAAACATATAACCCTACTCTACTTTCGACTTTCCCCTCTCCCACTCGACACCTTTCTCCTTTTCCCCTTAGAGTCAACAGCCTCAGTCTCAACCTCACAAAGATTATTCTCTAATGCTCTAACCAAATTCTCAAAATAATTCCTGGTAACCGCCGTAAGACCCGTCAGCTTGCAACGAAACTCTCTAAACTCCTCCCGAGGAAATCTCTTCACAAGGTACTTTCTCATCTCCTTCTCCACGCAGTAGTGAAGCTTCTCGAGGGCCCGCTCGGCCTCCCCTTGCAAGTGCTCGAAAAAATCCAACTTAGCCGAAGGCCTATTTTCTGCAAGGTAGTAGCCGTAAGTGTAAGACCATTTCAAGACTCGCCTGCACTCGACCACTTGCTCCCAAGCCTCCACCACGAACCTCAGCCTGTCCTCAGTCTCCTCCTGAGTTTCAAAAAGCCTCTTCATGTACTTGGTTTTTGCAGTTTCCAGGTCGGCCAGGGCAATCCCCCTCGACTTGTTGTTCGAAGCCCACCTCTCGTAATAATGCATGTACCGTTGTAGGTAAGTCCTGGTGTGTTAATGTTTGAGACGAATC